TTTCCCTACCCCTGGAACTCCACCTTATTTCCCAGGCCCATGCAGGAGAATGATTTAACTGGAAGAAGACATAAACTTCAGGGAGCAAGATATCATAGACATGTCAGAGCTGATTTGGATCAGTGCCTCGACACAGTGGAACTTTCCAGCACAAGGCACGGTAAGGCAGGGGAATTCTCGGCATGGTGAAGAGTTCTGGCGTGGATAGAGTTCCCGCCGAGGAAATGCAGATTTGCATAACATGATTGGCCGATGTTAAATTATTCCCACGTGGTGGCTGGCAATTGGCTCGCTAGCCGTATAAAAGGTTAGGGGCGTTTCCGCCCTAGTTGGAGAACTCCGCGATTTCCCGGAGTGGAACTCCGGCAGCTTGATCACCTGCCAACGACTCACCATTGACGAAGCCTTACGACGTATCCTCCGTGTTGCATGCCCAAGTTAGACCCGAGCTACCCGGTCTACAAGAGCTCCTCGATTAGCGACTAGAGATTAGAATTGTTGCAACTACGATTGAAGTGTGAAGTCACTTCTTGCCTGCACTGTATACGACTCTACAGTGTAAGTAAAGCTATCTCTGTTTTCCAACTGATACGTGTCCCGTCTGTGCCTAATTCCGCTCCGGTGATAGAGAGTACCCATCTGCCCGTCACAGGATTGCAGCCACAACCCCAGCTAGCGTTCCCGAGGATTTCCGATCCTCGGCCCCCCCTCGGCCCCCACAAGACACTTCAGATTACTTGTAAAAGTTGACTCACAGAAATCAAGCTGCTTTTTTGCAGTCTAATTCCCCAGCTGTAGTCTCCCAGCCTTGTAGGGAATCATCCAATTCCTTCCCCACCTAAACCAGATAACTCACCCAAGGCATTTATTAAGCTCCAGGTAATGGGGATCAGCTTGCAGGGGAGCAGTCTTGCTGATCCATCAAATCACAGTCAGAGCCAGACTTCGCTTAACAGGTCTAGCAATCCATAACATGCCTTACCTGTTATTATTTAATTAAATAATTAAAAAGTACAGACTCAAAACAAAGTTAGTGCAAATGATTTAAAATAAGCTTGAAATCAAGTCATTTTAGGTCATAAAGAACACTTTCAATCAGGTATTAAAAATACTTTCAAAAAATAGATTCTTTAAGCATAGATCAAAGGAGAAAGCAAACAAGATGGGATTAGTTTCTTGTTCCCACTAATGGTCTTGTGGGAATTACACAAGGGGACTTCTAGTTTTCCCAACTCAGAGTCCTTGAAATTGATCTTAAAAAAAAAAGAATAAGTCATTTAGTTCAGTGTTGAGGTTTTTTTTAAATTAATTAGTGCACATGGATTTTTAACATGCAAAATGAAAGGAATGATTAAGGGCATCCCAGGAAACCTGGGTGGCTTCTATGACATTTCAGAGTTCAGCTGCTACTAACTGATGCAGAGTTATTTTGAATTCTTGCTTTCTACTGGCCTGTAGATGAAAGATGGAGCTGAACTAGTAGCTTGAGGATTAACAGTTGCCATTTTAGGCAGAAGGCAGAGCAGGTTTTGCACCTTATAGACTAACTGATTCAGAGAGGCATGAGTTCACACAGGCAATACATATTCTGTATGTGCTTGGCTCTTTTGGAGGAAAGTTAGACTGGATACCTACCAGGAAGATCTCCCGCCCCACAATCTTACTTGAATGCCCATATGCTTGCCTCAGGACAGAGACACACTCAGTATCCTACACCCCCCTGCTCTCTCTCAAGGAGAGCACTAGCTCACCATCAGCCTACCGAGGGGTAAACTATCAGGGAGCCCTGCAGGGACCCCCAATCTTGGAAAATTCTGGCCTCTTCCCACCAATCATTTGACTGGCAGAAAGGGGAAGGGGGGGTTGGCACAGGGGGAGGCATTCTCCTGCAGGCAAAACCCTCCTGGAGCCCCAGGAGAGTTGCTATCAGGAAGAATACCCCTGCCGGCACGTCCTGTGGTTCACCTAGCTGCACTGCTGTGACAATGCTCCTGGAGTTGGGGCTGTAGAAACACAAGATAATTTACAAGCCAGGAGGCCAGGAACCAGAGTCAGAGAACTTCTTCCCAGCACATTTCCCCATGCCTTCATCTGTCAAACTGCCTACTCACAGCTTGCCCCCTTTCCAAGCAGGAGAAAGAGCAGGATGTCAATCAGTGAGCTCCCTTAAGGGTGGGAGTGACACATGGAGCACCTTTCTAGTGCCCTCTGGCTGAAGAGCTCCTCTGTGTAGAGATTCTCCAATCAGGGGGTTGGAATGCATGTAGGCTCCAACTCCTGTGCTGTTTTTCTAACAGAAAAATGATGGAAATGATGGAAATGATAGAAATGATGGCCATAGGCTACAACCTACTTTGTCAAATTCTATTAAATCATTTCATGCTATGAAAACAATGCTTTGCTTCAAGAAGTAGTGTAAAAGCAAAAGCAAAAAATTGAGGGTGGGGTAGAATAAAGGGCAGTAAATAAGGTAAAAGTTGTGATATCATTCATAGTATCTGATGAAGCAGGTGGTAGCTTACAAAAGCTCATGCCTCTCTGAACCAAGTAATCTATAAGGTGCCATCCTGCCTTACCTTCTGCCTATGTCTCTCAGCTCCCTTTCTGGTATGCAGGTTCTTACCCAGGGAAAAAGATATACCTGCTACATCCTTTTCAAGCCCATCATCCACACTACTTCCTTTCTCTACAAAAATCAGTCATTTCTCCTGAGGTCTTGAATTAGGCACCTATTGCAGCTCCATTCTTTCTACTCCAACATCTTAGCTCAGGCCACCCACAAACCTTAACTTATTTGCTGATTTTTATTCACCACCAAATTAGTTTGCAAAGATTAAACGGTAAGAAAATGTCTGTCAAAGATTAAGTTACATATTCAGAAAGTTCTCCAAACAGGCAGTCTCTAGGACCATGGACAAATCTATTCTGCTAAAATGAAGAAGTCCCATCACTTGACAGATTTAAATTTAGTAACACAGGCCTTGAAGTAAATAAACTGTTACTAGCAGGTGATGAACTCAATAATGTGATCTGTTTCATCTCCAACTGATGATAAACAGGATGACCAGTAACCAGGTGAAGAATTGAAAAACTGTGATGGAGAAAGCAAGAGAGTTTGGACAAGATCCGTGTCTCTTGGTTTGTAGACTTCCATAAAGCTTATCATTCCTTTGGATAAATGAATCTATAGTTATGCTTGCTTGAGATGAGTTCCCACCTCATCTGACTGATCTGCTGTGCAAACCGAACAGAGGACAAAAAGCCAGGCCAGGTTGCTGGCCTGATAGCGTAATGGTTCCAAGTACACAAAGGAGTGCAACAAAGTTGCACACTCTCTCTTTGTCAGTCTTCCAGGTGTATGCAGGAGTGATTATGTGGGGATCATGAGGAGGATCTGAAAGGCATCTGAGAATCAGAGTCAGAAGGCTTCACAATTTGAAGTATGCAAATAACACTGTTTTGGTTGCAATTCCTTTAAAAGAGCTAAAAGACCTACAGCAAGGAAGGAGTTGTGCTAGGAAAAAGACATGGCATCATGTCATCCTTGATATTCCAAAGACCAAAGTGATGCCCATGTCTCTCTCGACAAAGAATCAGAGCTGACAGAAAATGAGTTCTTGAAGCAAGTCTCAAGTTCTACATACTGGGGTGTAATCTTAACTGAAGACAATAAACACATAAATGGAATAAGCCAGGTTAGGCAAAGCTCACGCAGTGGTAAGGGATTTGAATGCAATATGGATGAGTAGGCAAATTACTAATAGAACAAAGACATGCTTATTAAATGCACTGATAGCAAAGTACAACTGTGAAGGTTGGACACTTACGAAGAAGTTAGAAAATTACAAGCATTTAAGATGTGCTACAGAAGAATGTTAAGTATTTTCTGGACCTCAAAAAGATCCAACAAATACGTGCTCTGTAAGACCAGAACCAAGCCTTAATGTAAGCAAAAAGAAGTGATTTGGACACATATTAAGAACTGCTTTTGAATTAATTAATTCAGATGGCTTCATAAACTATTAAGCATTTGCCATTTCTGACAAAGGGTAGTCAAGTAGGAATAATATCAACAGCTGGAGGCTATATACTGATCTTTCACCTGACACCTTGCTTTTACGTACTGTTTTAGGCCCTGGATGAAAGAAAGCACAAGCCAGTCCCACTTTTAAGTCTAATCATGTAAAAATTTGAGTAGGTAAGTAATTTAAAGCTTTGCAAAGTTACCATAATTGCAGAGCTAATAGCCTTAGGCATTTGTCAGCCTGTTTAGGGCATCATGGATCAGCTAGCATTATGAAAGCTAAAAGTTTTTCAGCTCCCTGGAAACTATTATTACATTTGATTTCCTTAAAACAATTTATTTTCCAGTACTGTTGTGGAGCATAAAGGGTTGCAAACCCTGGGCCTTTTGCTTGTTTAGAAGGGTGAATTCTAGGTCAGTCACTTTTTGATTCCAGAAGGAAGAATTGTTGTGGTTTTTAGGCAAAAGTAAGTGTATTGTAGAAAGTTTACAGGAACACAAGGAAACAATGCTTTGCTTCATGATAGCCAAGAATTGGCTGTGGAGGAGAATAAAAGTCAGAGAATAAGGTAAAGTGGAGCTACAGTAGGCAGCTAATGGTACAGAAGGGGGACACTGCAGCATGGAAATAGGTGAAATGCCACAGTCTGGGTGCGTCACTGCTGCTAGAACAGCCAGTGCCTTATGTTTCTCTCCCTCTGTCCTCTGTCAATTTGCATCTGCCCTACAGCAATAGCAAGGCTGTATTTATTTGAAGGGGTGGGGAAAAAAGAGCCTGTAGTCAAGATCCTGCTTCTGTTCTGTCCTATATGAGACTGGCATCTTCAACCCCCAGCAACAGAGCATCTGGGAGCACAGAGAAGTGGGATCCCCACTCCCCACTCCCCACCAGCACCCACTGGCCCCCCATTGCCGCACCTGCATTTCTTTGATGTTCTCCACCGGGGCAATAGGTTGCACAGGCCTGGCATGGCGGGAGCCACTCTTCATTGGGAGCTGCAATCTACTTGGATGGGGGGCCACAGAGGCAGGAGCAGACCCTGAGCTTGACTGGTCCCCAGCACCTGGCTCCATTTCCTCTGCCTCCTGGAAGCTCAATGCTGTCGGGAGCAGAGCAGTGCTAACACTGCATGGAAAGGAGACCTCTGCCTCCTGCTCCCACAGCCGCTGTTTGCTGCTGCCGTTTCCATGGTGAGGAGGAATCCTTAGACACTTGCAGACGCTGCATCTCAATTGCCTCCTCCCCCTTCACAGTGTTGCTGGGCTCAGGCTGTCCCCCTAGCATAGCTGCATCACCCTCCTGCTGGGAAAGAGCTCTTGTTTTAACTTGTTTTCCTCTCTAGCTCTAGTTTACTCTCTAGGAAAAATAAGCAAATGGATTTCATGGTATAAGTGGGATAAGAGAAATAAAGCTCCTGTTTCAATAGTAAGCCACATCTTCAAATACAGGCAACTTGTTTAAATAATGCTCCAAACAGCCCTGCTTAAGTAAAAACCATCCGGTCTGCTTCCAAGGTATCAATGCCTGGATCTCTTGTCTCTGCATCTGCTGCTTGCACTGCCCAGTCAGAGTGTCCTTCCTCAGCCAGGCAGGGAACAGCACTGTCTCTGCCTCAGAAAATAAATTCTGCCCCTTGTACATCACTATGTGACACACAGATAAGGCAAAGTGTTTAACTGTGCTGAGCTTTTCAATTTCCCCTGCAGGGAGGATGAAACTGAACAGACAATACAGACTCTGACATTTATACTGCAATAAAGTTGAGAGGAATAGTTGAAGACAGGAGCGAATCTCGGGGGGGGTGCAGATGGTGAGATGTATCATCACATATAAAACAACACATATTTTTCTCCACTTAAAAATAAACTAGGAGTTTTACTAATGTACTAGGGGCCTAGGATTGTGTTATTCAGTTTAAATTGAAGCAAAGACAAATATAACTTCATTGGAATGAGTGAAAAACAAAGCAGGGCTGTGAAACAGGAGCTTCATTTCCAGGAGCTGTTACAGACAACAGAAGTGCAAGACAAAGGATAGCTTGATTTGAAGACTGGCCTGCCACAAGGGCTATGGCAGGGGTGGGCAAAATACAGCCCCTGTGCTGGATCCCGCCCACCGCGGGGCCTTTAAAAATTTTAGAAAATTAATTTATATCTATCCATGCCCTCCTGGCAAAGATGACAGGTGGACAGCTGCAGCAGGACCCAGCAGGAGCCTGTGCCCCCAACCAGAAGTCTGTGGCTTCTGGCCCCGTGCCCCTGTGGCTGTTCCCCCTCCTTCCATTTGAGTGGAAAATAAGGTACGATTGGAGGGAGGGAGTGTCTGGAAGTGGTAGTTGCGGGGAGCAGTGGGGGCTGCATGGAGTGGAGCAGTGACAGGGGGGCCCATGGGGAGCAGCGCACGAAGTGGCAGCTGCGGGGAGTGGTGGGACCCATGTGGTGTGCAGCAGGTGGCGGAGCCACAACAGGCAGTGGAGCCACGGTGGTCCCCAGCAGGCAGCGGAGCCACGGCAGGCCCCAGTAGGCAGCACGGTGGGCCCTGACGGGTGGCAGAGCTGCAGCTGGGCCCCAGCAGGTGGTGGGGCTGCAGTTGGCCCCAGGAGGCAGCGGAGCCATGGCAGGCAGCAGAGCCATCTTGGGCCCCAGCAGTTGGTGGGGTTGCAGTGGGTGGCAGAGGAGTAGCAGGAGCTGGGCCCCGGCAGGTGGCAGAGCTGTAGCTAAGCCTCAGCGAACAGCTGGAGCCAGTGGGCAGCAGAGCCGCAGCGGGACCCAGTAGGCAGTGGAGCCCCAGTGGGCAGTGGAGCCATGGCAGTCCCCAACAGGCAGAGCAGAACCATGGCTGGGCCCCAGCAGGACCCAGAAGGCAGCAGAGCCACTGTAGGTGATGGGCCCCAGCGGGCGGCAGAGCCACGGCCAGGCCGAGGCAGGACATGGAGAGCAGCAGAGCCCCAGCGTGTGGTGGTGGCGCAGTGGGCCCTGGTGGACAGCATAGTCGTGAGGGGCTGTGACAGATGGTGGAGCCATGGTGAGTGGCGGGGTTGCAGCAGGCAGCGAAGTCACAGTGGGGCTGCAGCAGGCAGTGAGCCCCGGCGGGGGCTGCGGGGAGCACTGCAGAAAGTGGGGGGCTGCAGGGACCAGCAGGCAAGCCTGCAGGAGGGAATGCAGGGAAAGGTGGTAGCAGGCAGAAACATGGAGCCTGTGCAAGTGCCCTGGGACTGGCAGAGACCCAGGGTGGGGTTTAGAAATGCAGAGCCTGGGCATGGGATCTGCCTGGCTGCATCATGTGAGGCTCACATGCAGTGTGTTAGAGCTGTATGCTATGGAGCTGGCAACCCGGCCCCGGCTCTCTCTCTCAGCACACACCCAGCCACTATACCCACACCCCACCACGCGCACGCATACTCTCCCCAACCACACTGCCACTTATACCCCCTGGCTGCCCACACAAAACACACAGTAGGAGTGTATTTTAAGCTATTATGCAGCCACATAGCTGCATAATAGCTCTAGATACACTTTCTGTAAACACAGAAATCAGTAGAAAAATATTTTTTTTTAATTAAAATAGGTTATAGTAGATGTTTTGTATGTATGTGTGTGTGGGTGTGTGTGTGTGTGTGTGTATATATATATATCTCTATATCTTTTTCACTGTTTCCAGATCTCAGCACCCTTCCTCCCAAAAGGAGTACTTCCAGGGCATAGGGAGGGACTTCCAATGGCAAAGGTCAGGGGCTAAGAGGTGGGACTTCCGGTCCCAATATGGCAACCAGGGGCAGAGCAACTGTCAAGGGGCGGGGCTATCCATGCGGCCCTCAACAGCTTCTCAAAACTTGGTAAGTGCCCTCTGCCCAAAATAATTGCCCACCCATGAGCAATGGTTATTACAGGGGCAGAGGTTTGTTAGGCCTCTACAGTGCCAGGGATCTATAATTCGATTGCAACTGAATGGATTAATCCCTCAGAGTACTGGCCTGCGGCCCAGCCCTACCCTGAGGCCCACTACTGTTAATGAAGACAAACACCAAAGTAAGGGTTAATAAGCAAATCTGTATTATAAACCAAAGGTATCAACAATCATAACAACATGAACTAATCAACAACCATTTAACAGAACACTACATACAAATATGTACAGAGAGCAATACCAGCCTGTCACCAGCAGTGGCAGCCAAGAGCACTGACACCCAGGCTTCAGGGCTTGCTGTCAGATCCCTGTGAGTTCTCATACGCTCAGGACTTTGTCATTCTCAAGGCTGCACCCAGTTTAGCCCATTCCCAGGATTTGCTTCAGCAATCTCACGCTATCTGGGGGTTTTCTTAAAAGCTTTACCTCTAGGACCATGGATAAGCATCCCAGCTTTAACTTTTTTTTTTTCTTTAATTGAAAAAAGTACAAAAGCTCAGTCCAGATGTATCCTCAAGATTCAAAATAAAATAAAATCTTTTTAAGGCAAGCTCATGGTTTTTGAATCCTTGATGTTGGCACTATCAAATTTGTTTTTAAAAATCTAAGTGAATACATTAGTTTGAAACTCTATTATAGGAACTGCAAGGCAAGCCAGCACAGAAATTAAATCATTTTGGATAGCACTGGTATCAGGTAAATATAATACAGTGCAATTAGATTAGCCTTTTAAAAAAACCAGAGATTTCTTTGCCAGCAGATTTCAGCACTTCTCACTCCTCCAATTTGATAGCAAAGATAAAGATCTCTTCAAAGAGCCCATTACACATACTACTTTAGTAATCAGTTAAGTGGAAACCAATTTTCAAATGCATCAGTAAACAAATCTGTCACCAAGGAAATCCCCATCTTTAATCTCCTAACAGTAATAACCCCACTGCAGAAAACAGATACAGTACAGTTCAAAAGAAACTGAAAGCCACTTAATGTTAAAATATATATGAAAATCCTGGTCTAAGTATTTACAGTCTGTTTTTGAAAGCACCAGCAACTCCTGAAAGTTAAGTCTCAATAATTACCCAGAACAATATACAATAAAATAGCCAAAAAACTGGAAGTCAGAGCACCAGGCTGGGAGTTAGAAAACCTAAGTTTTGTTCCCAGCTTTGTTACTCACCTAGTGCATACATTTGGGCTTGTCAGTTTTAATGATATATTTTTTATTACTGCAGCTATCTTGATATGCATGCTTTGTAGAGAGTCATAAATACGTGAAGCTACGGAGAACTCAGGAGTTCACCTCATCCACTTAAGGCACAACAAGTACACCTCTAATATCCCTGAGAGATTTGTCTCCTACCTATTTGTCTTGCCTCCAGTGACTGGGACTCCACATCCTCCCTAGTTAGCCAGTTCCCATACTTAAATATCCTACAATTTAAAAAGTTTTTCCTAATATTTTACTTAAATCTTCCTTGGCTGGTAAGCCTGTTATTCTTGTGCTAACTGCACTAGACTCAGAACAATTAATCAGTATTATCTTTTAACAGTCTTCTATGTATTAGAAAGCTGTTATCATGAATTTCTTTCTTCTTCTTCTTTTCTATTCCTTCATCCTTTCCTTGTAGGTCATGCTTTCTAAGCCATATACCATTCTTTTTGTGTTCCTCTGAACTCTTAGCTGATTATCTAAACTTCTCTTAAAGTTCAGTGCCCAAAACAGGACACAGAATTCCTGCTAAGGTTTCAGAAGTGCTAAGCAAAGTGGAATAGTTTCATCTCACATTTCACATGTGATATACCTATAAATGGATTCCACAGTAATGATTTGTGTAACACCATCACATTAGTCTCTGGAATTCAGATTGTGCCCCACCATAACCCTCAGACACTTTTCTACAGTGCTGCCTTCCAACTAGTTATTCCCCATTCTCTAGCCACACATTTGATTTCTTCTTCCCAGTAGTATTGCCTTGCATTTGTTTTTACTGAATTTCATATTGATTTCAGACTATTTATCCAGTTTATCAAGAGCCTTTTAAGTTCTAATCCTGTTCTCCAAAGTTCTTGCAGCCCTTCACAATGTATTCTGTATTCTATCATCCAGGTCATTAACAGAAATATTGAAAAGTATCAGACTTGGGACAGGCTGTGAATCAAACTGTGATAGAATGATCCTCCCAAATAGTCCTCCCATTTTGATGACAAAGTATTGATAACTTCTATTTGAATACTATTTCTTCAATGGTGATTTCATTTAGATTTTATTCCTTCAGTCTGCTTATGAAAATGTAATTTAGGACTGTGTCAAAATCCTTGCTAAATCAAGATACATCCTGTCTACTGCTTTCCCTAACCACTAGGTAATTTATCCTTTCAGAAAAGGAAATTAGATTTGTTTGACATGGGTTATTCTTGTGAACTCCATGTTATCTGCTAGGTCAGGGGTCAGCAGCCTTTTCCCAGCTCAGGCCAGAACCTGGGAACCTAACTATAGCTGGAGGCAGGAAGCTTCTGTCCCTGCCCCTTTCCCTGACCCCACAGTGGCTAGATGCCTAAACTCACTCTCGCTGAATATTCCTGATACCTCTGCAGCAAGGAAAAGTGCATTCACAGTGTAGCTGCAGGATCCGCAGCCAGGCGGAGTGCCACAATAGGGACAGCACAGCTCTGTATCACCACTTCCCTGTGCCAGATCAGACCGCTTCATAGGCATTTCCAGCTGGTGGGCCATAGGTTGCTGCCCCCTGTTCTAGGTGTTGACAGACTGATTGTTTAAAATTTGTTCCAGTATCTTTCCAGTTCTAAAAAGTTAGGCTGACTGACCTATAACTCCTTTTGTCCTCCTTTTCCAGGATAGATACTGTTTGCCTTTCTCCAGTACTGTAGAATGTTATCCATCCTTGAACAGTTCTCAAAAACATCTGCTCATGGTTCAAAGGATGCTTTAGCCTCGTGTAATTTGCCTTATGACAGCTTAAGGAATTAAGTATCATATGACAAATAACATGAGGCCTTTCCAACCTGAATGCATCTAATTTATTTCAATATGAATAACTGTAAGAACAGTGGAACAATGGAATGAGCTGTCTATGGAAGCTATGAAATCTCCTCCTTTGGAGGTTTTCAAGAAAGTGCTGGAGAACTGTGATGCTATATTGTGATTCTGTGTTTTGTTTATTCCCACTTCTGGCCTGAGTTCCTACTCCCTTTTCGTTGCTGTTAAATATTGTCTTGTAAATGCGGTCAACTGTGGGTACCCCAAATCTAAAGGGTGTACAGAGGAATTTAACCTTACCTAATCTACCTTGCTTGCTGTTAAAATGTGATGAGCATGAATTCTTCCTAACCTCATGTCCGCTGATTATCAATAACTTTTTCTGAAGACTAAAGAAAGCATTGAACATCCATGCCTTAGATGTGCTCTCCATTATTTGTTCTCCTTCCCCATTTAGAAACAGTCCTATTTTTTCTTCTTTCTCTTAGTTTTCAAATATTTATAAAACTTTTCCTCATTGCCTTTAGTTTCCCTTTCCAATTGTAACTCAAAATGTTAGAACCTGAAAAAACAGTTCAACACATTCAGTAAAAATGTACAAAATATTTTGGTTGATACAAATCTGCAAAAAGTTCCAACTACTTCAGTAATGGTCATCCTTCACCTTTGTTATTCATAGAGGGGGCACTTACCTATAACAACCCACTTTGTTTTTAAAGGCCCTGGCTAAACTATTTCTCCTGAGCTGCATGGTTAGAATTGGCTACCAAATCAAAAAAATACAATTCTTGAAAATAGTCTTTTTCCTTCTTTTTACCTTATGAAATTCCTTTTTATTTTATGTGGTGTTTTAAATATCTCTTCTTTGAATCCTTCCAGACATGATGATGCAGGAAGCTGAAACAAAATGAGTTGGAAAGTTCTCTACTTTGGGAATACCTAGCTCCACTCTTTGCTATCAGAGTGTGAAGAGTATGATTCCTCCTTGTTCTCAAGTGTGCCACTCAGCAAATACCCTGGACATAAGAACAAAAATAACATAGTTAAGCATATAATCTACTTTATGCTGTGTGGTAAAAAATCTACTTGAATTATTGGCCAGGAAGTTTACTGCACTTGAGTTTTAATTTATTTGAGAAATAATTAAAACTGCAGAAACAAAACCTGGGACCATTACTGACTTTTGCCCTCATCTTACCCCGGGCTTATCTATTATCCTGTGCTTATCTACGATATGTTGGTGGCTTCACTGGGTTCAATTCAACTTCTCCCAGGAGTACAATTTAAGTCCCTACATAGTCGCATGATTTCAGATCATCATTTGGAATAACTCTGTGTAAAAACTAACAAAAATGCCTAACATACAAATCAATCAAAAACTCTCCTGGTAACAGTGCCTCTTTATGATGATATATATCAAGTATCTTGTCCAAACATTTATCCAAAGAACAAACACTCACCCTAAATTTCAGTGGTTCTGTTAAATTTTTATTTTCATTTTTCTTGAACCATCTCAACAATATATACAGGACAGCTTTCTCAAAGTTTATTCATACAACTGTGAATTCTGTGATGGGGTTTATTGTTATGGATAGTGTTTTACAGCTACAGCTTGGGACAGAATTAAAGTAAAATATTTTTTTACCTTAGCCTACATTTGGAGCATTTTTTAAGACTTTATTTTTTTAAGCATTTTTTAAGACTTTATTAGTATGGTGACAGGCAAAACTCATGACATGGGTGCTTGTGCAACTGACTGTCTCTGTCTTGAGGCAGTTGATTGTCTGTTAATTAGCAAGGATTAACACCTATAAAACCACAGACTAAGGAGAGGAAATAATCGATACAGACAACCAACTGCCCCAAGGCAGAGACAGTCAGTTGCACAAGCACTTATGTCACAAATGTTGCTGTCAGCAGCTAGAGGGACAGGGCCCCAGAACCCAGAAGCCCTGCACCTATCTCCTTGACAGCTGGCATGCTTCATGGCCACAGCAGGGGCTACCATGCCTGCAGCTTTCACCCTGCTGTGCCTTAACACACACACTGTCACCCATGTCACAAGTTTTGCTTGTCTGCAGCTTGAGGTACAGTTTCCCCCAAACCCCTGCACTTATCTCCTTGAAACTTGGCAGGCTTTGTGGCCTCAGCAGGGGCCAGTACCCCTGCAGTTTTCAGCCCACTGCTCCTTAACACACACAGGGTCATCTATTTCATGAATTTTGCCTGTCAGCAGCTTGAGGTGCAGTTCCCCCCAAATCTCTGCACCTATCTCCTTGAAACTTGGCAGGCTTCATGGCCTCAGCAGGAGCTATCACCCCTGCATTTTCACCCCCCAGTGGTGTAACACATACACATGACATGAGTTTTTCTTTCAAGAATTTGGGGTGCAGTTTCCCCCAAACCCCTGCACCTATCTCCTTGAAACTTGGCAGGCTTCATGCTCTCAGAAGAGGCTACCACTCCTGCAAGTTTCATCCAAATCAGACAAAAAACAACAAAGTTATAGATATTTCATTGATTTCCCATTATACCCTGTGGCCAGATCTCCTAAGTGGCTCCAAAGCTTTTCCAAAGCGGTTCGGAAGCTCTGAACCTCTTCGGAAAGCCTAAAGAAGCCAGTGCTTTGGTGCAGACATGCTGTTTCAGCTTCTGAATCTTCTTTGAATCCGAAGCATGGTCCGAAGCCTCACACAGCCCTACTATATAGTGACTTGGTGTACAGAAAGGCAAATGACAATTTACTAAACAAGCAGAAAATCCAGCTGCACTGGTATCACATGGCATCTAATAAGTCCGTGTGATCTTATAATGAAGATCACAGGGCCTGATGCTCTTTCCCTGACTTATGGTAATAAGTCATTAAAACCACCTCATTCCATGGGTGGTTTGAATAAGATCAGTAGGAATATTTGCATAGCTGGTACCACTCCGCTCCACATGCCTAGGTCAGAGGGCAAGGAGTATACTGTATAACAAAGCAAGGCAAGATCATAAGGGAACCAACACCCATGTCACCAGCATAAATGTCTTTAATCAAGCACAGGCTGGCCATGATAAAATATCCAGTCACATAGGCAGGGTCATATTCAATTAGGTGTGGTATCATGAATGCATTTTCATAGATGTTTTCATTAATTATTCTATTTATTATGAGTTTCCATTAAATTGTGACTTTAATACATGCCCAATATCTGAGGTAATACATCATTTTTCTGCCCAGCCTGCAATCTGGAAAGTACAACGTGACTCTCTGAGACTTTAGTTTCACACTGCTCAAAGGGAGACATAACCTGTACCAACTTTGTACTGCACCATATGTTGCTTGGTGCAACTGAGCATTCTCCACTCCAATTTGCCCGTTCTGTTGCCTGGAAGAGGGAGTGTTAGCACTGCAAAGATTGCTTCTTTCCCACACAGAGCATATCTGACCTATTTTTAAAAAACAACAACTGAAAACTGTCATTCATAAACATAGCTGCTCCATGCAAGAGAATGCATTGATTCTTCCTTTATAACTCGGAGCCATGTGGGCAGAATTGGGAGGCACAGAGTAACTCCACCTGCCACATTCACAGAATCGTGGAAGGAAGTGTGTGTAGGAAGGGGGTCAGGATACCTACCCCTCACCCCATCCCTTCTCATACTGGTCTAAAGAAGGCCATATTGAACAATTAATGAGTGGATGATGGAAGCAGTGAGGAAGTATCTGATAGGCTGGAGGTTTTGGTTGAGGATGGTAAGAGGTATCTCAGAGGCTGGGAGGACATTCCTGTGCGCCTGGAGAAGTGACGGTTGGCAGGTGTTAATGGATGGATGGAGTAAATGGGTGGAGGGGATTTACTGATGATGAGGGAGAGAGCAACCTGGTGGGAAGTACTATATTTCATGGTTGTATTCAAAATCTTAAAACAAGGCTTTAAAGGTCCATTCATTTTTAAATTCACAAAGAATGTTAACACAGGTGAGAGGGAATGATTTAGGCATCTAAGCTGCCTTTTTTTATAGCTAGACTCTGTGACCATGGGGAGAAATCCCAGCATTGATAGCTCAGCCCTTCCTTCCTCTTCCACTTAATCAGTCTTCTCAAGAATGGATACAGGGGATGTTCAGGTGGAAGACCTGGAAACAACATCAGCAGTAGAGAAGATAGTAGAATCACTAATCAGAGAGACACCAGAGGAACACCCAGAAAGTTAGCATGTAATTAGGGACAATTAGCATCAAGCCACAGAAAGGAGTTTATGCCTGACAGATCAAGCAGATTTTTTTTAAGTAAAATAAAATAGATAGAAGAGCAGCTGTGGTTATAATTTACCTGGTATCTTAGAGAGCTTTGATACAGAAACACACAAAAGCCTAATCTACAAAGTTAGTAATTGCACTGTAGGGGTGAAATGATTATGTGGATAAAGAACTAGCTTGGAGAGCAAAGACAGAGGGTAATTGTGAAAGATACCAGTCTGGGTTACAGGAATGTGATTAGCTGAGTACCACTGAGATAAAAAATGGAAGTGGCTTTGCTCATAGCAAATATATTATCTGCATAGGAGAACCAATATGGTGGTAAGGGAATGGAACATGTTTGTAACATACTGTTGGGCAAAGAATCAACAAAAGGGAAGAAAGAAGTAAATATAATGTCTTGAGCAGACAAGAAACAACAGGGCATTCAATTATACAATTCAATTAAGAAAAAATATTGTAATAAGGACTCAGGCAAATAAGGAAAAAGGAATCATTAATCAGGTTATTTTACTGCCCCTATGAGAGTGTTCTCTAAACACCTTGACCATGTACAATGATATATTGGGCAGAAAAAGTATTGGCAGACTATGTAGAATATAATCCTAAAACATTTGGCACTATGAGCTGAATGACCACCCAGAACACAGCAACTTAAATCTCCTCTTCAATGTGTACCTAATTTATTTTTTTAATTACTTTGGAACCTGAATTATTTTTGTACCAGGTGTCAGTTCAAAGGACAACATTTTTTTTCAGAGTGTGAGGAAAATCTCTTCAATTACTTTTAAGTAATATCTATATTTTTCAAACATCTAACACTACGTTTTTAGATAGGCAAGGCTACAAAGAAATAGGTGATGTACAAACCTTGAAACTTGGCATAAACATTGTCTTAATTTGATTGGTTCTGTTGCTTTGTTTAGGTTAAAAAACTGTTTTAAACTAAACAAAACTGGAAGCATTGAACAACTGTAAACTGATCATACACTGTTGATATTTTAACGTCTATACTTGTGCACTTAGCCTGAAGAGGCATGTGTAGATGACATGGGAGTTAATGTAGACCACCCAAAAATTTTAATGCGGCTCTTTTTTGGTGCAGTGAATTTTTATTTGCACGACACAGTGCTTTCGAGTGAGTTAAGCCCCCCGTGTGTCATTCCCCACAGATGTCAGTAGAAGGAATCAAATACCAATTAACCCGCTAGAATGTCTTTCCTAATGTATTACAGCAGGAGGCAGATGTGAACCACCCAGGCTCCCCAGCCCCTGCCCTCAGACTCTCATAGGGCAGTCCTGATTCTCTGGGAGTCTCCCCTGAGCATGGTCACAGTCACCCCCAAATCCTTGTCACTTGCACCCACCTATGCTAGTTCGGTCTGGTCTCTCTCAATCATCAAACGGAGATGGGCACAAGCCTATATCATAAGAGTAGTGGGTGGGGCTATGATATCATAAGAATAGCGGGTGGGTGGGTGGGTGTTTGTTGCCACCTGGTTGAAAGGCAATTGCTGCTATTTGTTGGTGGTGGTGAGCTCTTCTGTCTTTTTGGGGGTGGGGGGAGGGTTGGACTACATTTTCCAGAATTCCCGAGCTCATTAATCTTCGTACATTTTCCAATGGAAAACCCTCCTGTTCCCTGGCCAGGTACAGTACACAGTCAATCTGTTTGTGTAGGTGTGTTGTGAATTGTTGTGAATTGTTTTATAAATGCTTTTGGAATGTTTTTCAAAATCTGGGTTGCTGTTGGGCTTGTTCCTCGGGGAGTCATTCACGTGTGGGTGATGGTGCATAATGCCCCTGTCCCCCCAAACCACTCACAGTCTGGAAAAGCAGCAAACCCCTAGCCCGGTCCCAAGTCCCTCCCTCTTCCCCTGACCCCTTCCCCTGCCCACTTCCACCCCGTGTCCACAACACTGCACACCTCTGTAAACAGACACAGATTTTAAAGTGTAAAAAAAAAAAAAGAATGTATTTTAGAACAAAGCACTCCTAGGGGTTGTTCTCAGCAATGTATCCTGCAATCGTGCATAAGGCCACCCATTCAGCCTCTCCTTGAGGATATCTCCTCAGTCCCTGTGCTGCTGCCCCACATCTCTATTGTCCTGCCACTGCCTGTCACGCTTCTTGTTCCCATGAGTCCTTGAAAACCTCTCAGCGGTTCTTGCAGATATTGTGCAGCATGCAGGCTGCCACAATAAAGGGCGTTAGATTTTCTTGATCCATGATAAGCCAGCATGTAAGTGCCCTCCATTGTCCTTTCAGTTGGCCAAACACACATTCCATGGCCATTCTGCAACTGCTGAGGCAGTAGTTAAAACCCAGCTTCTGTGGGTCAGGGCTTTAGGGGGAAGGCAGCATCCGCTAATATAACAGGGGGAATGGCAACACCACAAATCACTCTCTCCTCCATGTCGGGTGTTTAGTGTCCTTTCTCCATGAGGGCAGTGTTGAGAGATCACTGAGTACAGACATGGGCCTTTGTGCCCCGTTGACATTCACTGGCTTCCTTCCCCTCACAGGCCAGTACCAGTCAGCATAATTGGGTCAGTCTTCCTCACTTATCTCACCTGCTATGACTTTGATGACTTAATTAAGGGGGAGGGATTGTGACTCCCTGACCCAACATTGACTGGCACTTGCCCCAATGCCAGATCAGAATTTCTTTGCAAAGGAAAATGAAGTAAACAAAAAAAACCTTGCTGTCCACACAGTGTTTCCTCTTCTGTTGCAGGGAACTCAGAGGCAGTCTCTCTCCTCTCCTTGCCTTTACCCCACAAGCACTTGTTCGCCAGTGCTGAGAGCAAGCAGTGGGTTTTTTTCTTCACTTTCAGTGATTGATGCCACACCAGCTCAAATGACTGCCCACGATAGCCAATTAACGTGGCAAAAAAAAGTCTCTCTCCTCTCTTTTTTTCTCTTTAGATGTGATCTCCTCCGAGCTCACAAGACTGAGCAGGTCTCTTGCCCTGTTCCTGGGGATGTCAGTTTTGGGCAGCGGACGGGTGTCCGCCCTACCTGCCTACACTGTCCTCTCCCTCTGCGCTTCCTCCTCTCGTCCTGTCTCCCAGGACCAGAAATAGCCCCGACCGCTTAATTAGGTCAATCCATCTCACCTGGAGAGGTGATAAAGCAGATTCCATTGACTTGTTGTGAAAGAACTGTGCCTAATGCTCACTCAGAAGCATCCATCTGTAGGATAAAAGGCGACTCGAAGTCCAGGGTTCCCAACACAGTCTTGACAGAGGGCTCTTTTTGCCTTCTCAAAGGCTTGCCTACTCACGGTGTCCCTCAGAAGAGGGCCCTTCCTCTTCCCTTGCTGCAAATCAGTTAGGGGTGCTGTGATTTCCGCAAACTGGGGTATAAATCATTGATAATATCCCATTAGTCATAAGAACGCCCTTAGCTGTTTGCGGCTCTGGGGTGGACTATAACGGCACAGGGCTTCTACCTTGTCAGCTAATAAGCAAACGTGCCCTTGGCCTACCATAAACCCTAGCTACTTTGTTTCAATCTTACCCAGGACACATTTTTTTGGATTGGCCATGAGACGGGCTTGGTGTAACTCCTGCAACACTGCTTTCACTGCTTCCAGATGTTCATCCCAACCTTGTGTATATATAATAATATCATCTATGTAGGCGGCAGTGTATTGCTGGTGTGGGGCCAATGCCCACTCGATCAACCTTTGAAAGATAGCTGTCACCCCATGTAGCCCAAAAGGCATATGCTTAAAATCATATAAGCCCCACGGAGTGCCAAATGCAGTTTTAGCCCTATCTTCCCTCCTTAGTGGCACCTGCCAGTACCCTTTTGCCAAATCCAGGGTTGAAATAAATCCAGATTGTCCCACTTTCTTCAACAGCTCACTAATCTGAGGCATGGGAAAAGCATCAAACCGTGATATGGCATTTAGTTTCCTGAAGTCCACACATAGCTGTAATGACCCGTCAGGTTTAGTCACCGCCACAATGGGGCTGCGCCACAGGGTTTGGGACTCCTGGATGATACCCTGTTCCAACATTTTAGTAATCTGTGTAACAATAGTGTTATATCTATAATGAGGGATCCTTCTCCATTTTTCTCTAACAATCTACCCTACAGGGGTTATTATACAATGAGTTATTCCCCTCACACAGCCTGGAATTTTGCTGAATCCATCTCAAAATTCATTCACCAAGCCTCTCAACTGATGCTGTTGCTGAGGACTAAGTTGGACCCCAACCGGGACCATTATGTCACCTGTACCTGGTCTTGGGTCGGCCCCCACATCCCAACCGAGGTCCTCCTCTGGTGGGGAGGGATCAATCAACAGGCCCTCCTGGTCCTCCATTCTTTAAGTAAATTCATATGGTAAATTTGTCTCTCTTTCTTGTACCCCAGTTTAGAAACCTCATAATCCACGGGGCCAACTTACCGAACCACCTCAAAAGGTCCCCACTTCAGGAGTTCGTTGACAGTATCTGGGAGCAGTAACAAGACCTTCTGGCCAACTTGAATACTCCTCTCCTGAGCCTTTTTATCGTATGTAGTTTTCTGAGTCTTCTGTGTTACCCTCAAGTGTTCTTGCGCCAGTTCTCCCGCCTTCTGCAAGTGCTGTCTCAATTCTTGCACGTACTCTGTGTCATTAACACCCTTCTAAGGATTTTCCTCCCAACCTTCCTTCAGCAGATCTAGCAGCCCCTCAGCCGATGCCCATACACCAAGTCAAATGGGGCACACCCCAAAGACGACTGTGGGGCTTCCCATGTCCAAAACAACAATGGCGGAATCATCAGGTCCCACTTACGGAGCTCAGCCTGGACACACCACCACAGCATATTCTTCAAGGTCCCATTAAACCTTTCCACTAACCCATTAGTTTGGGGGTGGTA